CAATTTTGGTTTTTTTTCCGGATTTGTTTTTTTTCGATTTTGGTTTTTATTTTCTTTTTTGGTTTTTTTTTCGATTTCTAGGATTTTTTTTTCTATTTTAATTGTTTTTTTTTCGATTCAAATTTTTCGATTTTGGTTTTTAATTTTCGGATTTGTTTTTTTTTCGATTTTGGTTTTTATTTTCGATTTTTTTTTTTTTTGATTTCTGGGATTTTTTTTCGATTTTGGTTTTCTGGGTTTCAATTTTGATTTTGTTTTTTTTTTTCAATTTCTGGGATTTTGTTTTTTATTTTGGTTTTTTGGGTTTCAACTTTGATTTTGATTTTGATTTTGGTTTTTGTTTTCGATTTCAGGGATTTTGTTTTTTATTTTGGTTTTTTGGGTTTTCTGGTATTTTGTTTTCGATTTGGTTTTTTTTTTTTCGATTTCAATTTTTGTTTTTTTTTTTCGATTTCGATTTTTTTTAATTTCGGTTTTAATTTCTGTTTTTTTTTTTCCTTTGTTTGAATTAATTCTTTTTTTTCTGGGTTTGAATTGTTTGGATTGAATTTCTGGGTTTTTTATTTTTTCTTAAGCTTATTTTTACCATTTTTTTTCTGTTTTACTTGGTGCAGGTACAGATGCAAGAATTTTGATATGTTCATATTGTAAATTTCTTTTTGATTTACGAGTATATTGTAATTTTTTTATGATTTATAATGTAATTTTTTTTATTTATATGTTAGTTGTAATTAATCTATATTGTTATTTTGTATTTGATTATATGTTGTAAATTTTGGATTATATTGAAACCAATTCGATTTATATTGTGATGTTATTTTTTTTAGTTGATTTAATTGTTAAGTGAAAAAAAAAAAAAAAAAAAATTGGACATTTTTGGTACCGGTTAACCGGTGCCAAAAGGAGGGATAGTACTTTTTTGAGTATTTTTAACCGGTTCCAAAACGTGTTTATGGCACCGGTTTTGAACCGGTGCCAAAAAGGGGGGTAATTGGGACCCCCCACATTGGCACTTGTTCAAACCGGTGCCTTAGGCCGGGTTTGAACCGGTGCTATTTTCATTTTTTCACGTAGTGTTTGCCACTTGTTGATTAATTAGTTGTTGGCTATTTTCTTTTGTTTTTAATTTTAAAATAAAAGACGAAAATTGATTTTACCAACTCTCCTACATTGATGGGAGAGTGGATTCTCACTTGAGTTTCCCTATAAATATCCAACTTGGGATATGGGAAAACTCACTTGAGTAAGAGCTCAATTAGGCATATCCACTTGAGAGAAAACCTATAAGCTCATTAATTATTCTTGTAGTATTTTTGGTCGGACTTGGCTGACCTCCAAGTATTAGACCGGTCGGGTCGAGTTATGGGTGGACTTTCGTTGAAGGTCCTTGCTATTTGTGACGCTTGGCTTTTCTCAAATAAGAGCTTCGTCCGGGTGAGAGAGGCATGCTACAAGGGTAATTTATTCTTTTCTCTATTCTTTTTATTTATGCATTATGTTATATTAATTGTGAGTTTGATCTTGGGCTCGGGTTTTATTTTCGTGGTGAGTCGGACTCGTCAAAACCCAACAAATGAATAGGGCTCGAGTTGATTTGTGTGCAATGATTCAGTAGGTGAACCACAATGACAAATGCAGATGGCCGCCTCAGCCATGAGCAGTGTTTGATGAGTACGATCAAAAAGGAATAATCTACCCTCATGACAACCCCCTTAGGGAACATAGTGAGAATTGCAAACTGGGATGTAAGCGAAGTGTTGATAGAACATCATCTTCATTAGAACCTTCAAGGGTCTAAAGCTAAACAAAAAAAGACCTCAAAGAAGTGAGTTATGAAGTCACCGGGTTCAATGGGTCGAGCTTGATCCTAGAAGGAATCATGGAACTATCAGTCAAGGTAGGTGAAGGGTCCAAACGTTGAGACATTTAAATTCTTTGTGGTAGATTCACCCACACCCTACCCTACAACTGGGATAATGGGCAGACTGCTGATACACAAGATAAGAGGAGTTGTATCAACCTACCATTTGGTAATGGCTTATACGGCTAACGATGGAAGGTCCACCAAGTTGAGAGGAAATCAAAAAATAGCACAACAATGTTACATCATTGCTCTCAAGCAACCAACATAGGCGAGGTATCAATTGGGTTCAAAAGTGAAAAACGAGGCTCAAGGTGAAAAAAATCTCGAAAAAGGAAAAGGGAAGAATATCGTAGTGAGAAGGAAAAGCAAAAGTTGGCAACAGAAATTTTGAGCCTGTAAAGGAGGAGGCTGCCAGAACAATCCCCAACTGAGAGCGCGTACAAACCTAGGTTTTACATTAGCGTTAGTGTAAGCTAGTTGTATATAAGAATTTTGCCCAGTAAAATGTTAACGTACTCCCTCCGATTTTAAACACTTGCTCTACTTTTATTTTTCGATTGTTTTAAAATACTTGCTCCAATTTTCTTATTTGGAAAGTTTTTACAATAGTTAATTTATTTCTCTCACCTAGTGGACTCAACATAAAAATCATATTTCATATTCTCTCTCCTCCAATTCTCTCCATGCATTATTTTTGCTTTTTACAAAATAAAATTCTTCCACCTACCCCATTACCTCCATATTTTATTACTTTCTCCAATTTTTCCTAAAACTCCACGCATGGAGAAATGCACAAAGTTTTTAAAAACAAAGGGAGTATATGTTTCTGATCCGTGAAGATGTCAATCAACCTAGTCACCATCATCAAAACATTAAGAATCCTTAAAAAAAATTATGGTTATTCAAGGGTTATGATTTAATTAACTTTTTTAAGTCGATTTTTATAAGTTCTTACTTATTGTATATTGATGAATTCTTAATATCGACAACAAATTCATTAACTATCACTTGCGCTTCAGGTTTAGGTTTTTTTTTTTCGACAGTGAGAACAAAGAAACAAAAAACAAACAACTTAAAAATACTAGAATAGAAATTCCCAAACACGAGCTTTCCTAGCCAACCAGTGCATCGGCGCAACCCACTGCCTAGGGACCTTCCGAATTCTGCAAACATCAATAGTTGCCAAAAAAGCTCGAATATCCCGAACCAGCCAGCACAGAGAAATGTCATCATGTTGTTTCTGGGCCAACATTAAACAAAGGCGTTCGGAAGCAGACAAAATAAGGATTTTACGAAAGCTCCTGGAGAGGACGTGTTGCAACCCCCAGTAGCAAGCCTGTAACTCAGAATGAAGCGCTGAGGAGGAGAAAGAAGCATGGGCACCTCCCCCCTGAACTAAAGGCTAATCACAATCTTGAAATATCCAACCCGCACCACCCGAATAATCCAGAGCCGACCAGGCACCATCACATATGAGACAGATATCAACACCGGAATCAAAGCCTCCACAAATAGTGACCTCAACACCTGAAACAAAAAATCTAAGTCCATTATCCTCCAAGAAAGGATGATTACGGAAAACCTGAGCGTGCTTTCCTCGCAAAAACCACTGAGAAACAAGAAGTTGAACGTCGTTCGGGGAAACGGCTTGGGACCGAAACCTAACATTATTACGCGAAAGCCAAATAGCCCATAAAAGAGCAAAAAAACTTGACCAAATTTTCCCAGTCCTTAGCCACCCTAAACAATGAAATCATTGAGGAAAACCATTGAAGGAAATACATGCGAAGAAGACCCTGACAATTAAACTACTGACCTATAAAGAGACAACAAAGTCGCAATCCCTAAATAAATGGTCCACCGTTTCCAGCTCCCTATGGCAAAAACAGCAAGTAGTGTCGACTGGAAGACCACGAGCAGCCAACACTGCCGCCACCAGAAGAGAATCTTCCAACCAAAGATTTTCCATTTTAGAAGCAAAGGAAGTCCCCAGAATTTTCCCCACCATGAAGTGGAAAGAGACCCCCCCCCCCCCCCCGAAAGACTATTGGAAGTCTATAAAAGCAAGAGTGCATAAGCAGACTTCGTCGAAAAGGAACCATCCTTAGTAAACTTCCAATACACAAAATCGTCCATGAGCGCTTATGGTTTAGTTTGTTTGTATTATTATGACTTCTTTCCCTTTTTTTTGTTTTTGTGGTTATGGTGAGGTGTGTGCTACCGTTTGATGGTTGCTGCTCCTATGGCTGGTGGGACTGATGCCATGATTGTCTTACTAGATAACGTTGTTATTTTGGAGTGCATCTCAGCGCATAGCTCCTATGCATTTATAGAACATATAGGAGGGCAAAAATGTAAATTTGACAAGTTTTTGGAAAAAGTTGACTCTACAGTGGTACATTATAATATACAATTATGTACCATTATGCATGTGTAATGTACCATTAAAGTATAAGTTGTCTAAATATTACTTTTGGTGCACTATTATGCGTGTAGTGGTACTTTTTACCATCCTTTAGATTGAATATTTATCCTCAAAATACTTACCACCTGTCACCTATTATGCATGTGAGGTAAATTTTTCATCCTATATGTTTTCTAAACCAATAGAAGTAATGCGCTAAGGGTTAACTGCTATTTTGATAACAAGTATAGTATAAAGGGTTGGGCAGTACAAGTGCTTGCAAGTTGACTTCGAGTCAAGTACAATTAGGGTTCAGAGTCTTCAGACATTATCGAGTTTAACCGATTTAAAGTAGACTATAGGTCAATTTCAAGTCATATTCAGATTGTAGATTATCATCAAGTCATGCCGGATTCAGAATAGCTTCACACCGGTTACAAGTAAAGTTTGAAAGATTTCGTATCAAACTAGTTTGGGAACGACTCAATTTTGGGTGATTTTTAACACACATGCCTACATGCTAGCTACTGTTCTAAGCAGTGAAACAACGAAGTGTAACCTATGCTTTCTACCTAAAAAAGAACCCCATGTCGAATAGATCTGTTTTAGCTCCAGAGTTTAGTTTAACTGCATTTTCATGGATGATCAAGCAAAGAAATTTTCATTAGCCACGACAGAAGTTAAAAAGGGAACTTAAATTTTTATAATTAGTGTTTAAGATTAACAAAAAGCTGAGTAATAATTTTTTTAAAAAAAAAAAAATCGCATTTCAACCAAATACATCTAACAACATAATCATGATTTTCTAATTTCCTAACCCGAAACAACCTCCTGAAATTACAGGATTTATTCAGGAGACAATCAGGGAATGTAAATTTTACAATTTACTCTACGCACGGGTTATAGATGATCAATTACATATGCATGATCTTTCATCAAAAGCTCAGGCTGCTGTAGACCCTTAACTTGGAAGTAAGGAGTATTAAGTTATACCCACATTACAAATAACAGAATAACTCACTCTATAAAATAATTAGGAGCAACAGCCAAGATCCTGTCGTCTTTAGACACTGAAGGTTGACGCCCAGAATCTTCACCTTCAGCCACTGCTTGCGTACCATCATCCACAACTATTAGATTTCCATCTTTAATCAATTTCTGCAGACGATAAATATTCAGCATATAATGTTAGTATGATGTTAACAGTCACGTTCAGGCACTAGGCATATTCACTACTATACCTGAATGATAGCTCTGGTTATTTTAACATCTTTACGAGCTTCCTCCATAGAACTGTAACTATTTTTCTCATTTTGTTGTGCTACATACCATTGAATCAAATCCTTCTGTCTAGTCCCAAGAAGACCTTTCCCTGCGGAGTTTTTGGAACAACAAGCTTAATGAATGACATTCAACACACAAAGGCAGGCTTCTATAGTTTCATTAATGTCACAACATATCTACTGCAGCTTAAAAAAAAATCCATGGTAGCAGGTGTTCTAAGATCATTTCAGTAATTTCACCTTCTTGCTCAGCAGTCTCTTCAAGCTGCCTAAGCCGCATGACAAGCGCATATGTCACTCTGTCAAAATGTTCATCTGTTATCACCAAATTCTGTTCCTGAGCTTTAGCTCCGTCAGCATTTCCTGCAAGATTATTTAGCCTACTAGTTAATGCCTATAATATACTCAAAACATGAGGTGATTATTTTTTAACATAGAAAGAGCACAAAAATGTTCTTATCAGTTGTCCAAAAAAAACCCGAGAGGAATAAAAAAACTATTTTTCTGGATGTTTGCTTCCAAATTCCACCTCAATTCAGTAAAAAAACTAGGTAAACAATGACAAATTGATATTTAGATGAAGATTTGATACGAGGGCTTATATGGCCAGACCAGTTGGCTGTGCTTTTGTGTCCAGTCTCACCTGTATTAGCTGAAGCTGATTCCCCTGCAGGACTAGGCTGAGACTGCTGAGCATCACCCCCAGAAGCATCTGCTCCGTTTCCACCATCATTAATTTCTTCATTAAACTCAGACAGGTCAATTTCGCTTGATTCCACACTACATTATACATGATCAATACGAGCTTCAATCAGAGTGTAAAATGGACACAGAAGATCATGAAAACAAGGGTATGAAGAACATAGGAGATGACTGCCTTTTCGTTTCTTACCTAATAACTGATGTCCTTAGAAGTCGAACCGCAATAGTGACATGGCGTGGTAGTACCTAAAAGACAAATCCTACAGATTAAGTTGAGCTGTAAAAACCAATGAATACATACAACGATCTTGAATTATTAAACATACCTCTAGTTCCAAGAAACTTCGCGCAATAGCTTCTGATAGCCTGATCAATGCCTCCAACTGTCTTACAGTCATTCTGTAAGCAACTCTACTACCTGGAGCAGCATCCCCTCTTCTAAGAGTGACATATGAGGCAACTAACATTTTCCTAGCTTCCAAACTTAGCTGCTCCAATATAAGAGAAAATTGAGTGTTGTGAAACAACTTTTATATAGCTACCTAATCAAAGTTGATGCAGAAGAAGTTTGAAAGATGACCTTAGGTTTCAATGTTTTTGCATAGGCAATATAACGTTTTATATGGGCAGTAGTAAAGGTAGGTGATAATGCTTCTTCATGCCTTTGATGTACTCTAACAATATGGTGAGCAATGTGGTAATCAATTTGATCATCTGGATCATCTATCATAACGTATACCAGATCAAACCTTGAGAGAATTGCTGGAGGAAGAGCCACATTATACTGCAGGAAAAAGAATGTCAGTCTATATTCTGAGAAGCAGCTCAAAAGTCAAAACCAAGTTACAATGTACAAAACTCAGGTAATATGCAATAAATTAATCATAATAATGTGTATTTGGTTTGAAATACATTACCTTTAGAGGTTTTGTTTTGTCATATCGACCCCCAGTAGGATTGGCGGCAGCTAAAATCGAAGTTCTTGCATTCAAAGTAGCCTGAATGCCTGCTTTTGTGATACTTATAGTCTGCTGCTCCATGGCTTCATGAATAGCAACCTTTGAATTGATCATGCAAAAGTTACAACAACGAATAGAATTCTATAAACAATTTCATGACAATTATCCGGAGTATATTACCTGGTCTCTGACGTCCATTTTGTCAAACTCGTCAATACAGCAGATACCATTATCAGCTAACATCAATGCCCCAGCCTAAAGTTTAGAGAAGAGACGCTATCAAATTAACCAACCACTCTTTACTGATGCATAAGTACAGCAGAATAGGTAAAACAACCACTCTAACTTAAAAGAGAAATTATATCCAAATTGTATCTCCCCTTCTGGATATCCATTCTCAATTCAAACACCTTCCATAATTTACCATTAAAGAAGTTCCTTAATTTACAATCAAAATGTTTAGCTGAAATGATAAGTCGAAAACAAAGCATTATACATAGAAGTTACCACTTGCTCAAATTAATTTATATAGGCATTAGATAGTCAGCATGAAACACGTAAGAAATCAAATCTAATAATATCCATTGGCAATTAACCTCGATACAGAACTCTCCAGTTTCTGGTTCTTTTGCAACCGTGGCAGTCAAACCAGCAGCCGAGGATGATTTCCCTGATGTGTAGACTGATCGGGGGACAAGACCAGCAGTATATCTAATGATAAATATAATAGCATGATTAGTCTCTTTGGTAAAAAGAAGATGAGGATAGAGATGAAACAATTCTTAAAATTAGGAACACAGGCCAAAAAATATTTAAAGAATGACATACTTTAGAAACTGAGATTTTGCACAGCTGGGATCCCCTACAATGCAGACATTAATATCCCCTCTTAAGTTAATGCCTTCAAGTGTATGCTTGTGAACACCACTTAACAGCATAAGAAGAATTGCTCTCTTGATTTCTTGGTGACCAAATACAGTTGGTGCAATGCTGTCAACCAGTTTATTAAAAAAATCAGAACTATTTCTCATTCTTTGGATCTCATTGAGTTCCTCTGCCTGCATTTGAAACAAAAAATAATCCAACTTTATCAGAAATCTCAGTATAAAATCGATGAATAGATATTCATCAAATGGACTTATTAAAGAATCATTTAGATGTTGGAAATATCCATGGTAAAGGTATCAACACATTTTAACATGTCTTAAAAAAAATAAAAAAAAATCCAGGTATATTCTTGACTAATTAGGGCACTGGAACCTGTTACTTTCTTTGAATGATGGAGGCCTAACGAAACTTTTAAAGTTAGACAATTAGTGGAGGAAATAAGAGGGATGATAAAATATGCATACTTACTATTCAACTGTAAATAGTTACACAGAAACATGCAATGAAAGATCCAAAATATATTAAATGGGACCATGCATGATGCAAATGGTTTAGCAGATGCTAAATGCAGACAGTGCATGAGTGCATGAAATTGGGTAGCTCAAACTTCAAAGAATAGCTCAAGGAACACACCGTGAATTGTTGGCTTTCATCATCATCACCATCTTTCTTTCGGTTTCTAATGTCAACATCTCTTCTACCATCAGCAATCTACGTGCCAAATTTAAAGTTAGAAATATGTGGCCATATATCTATTATCTGCATTGAACTCAACCATACAATTCAAAGCACACCTGGACGGAATTAGCAATAAAGGCAAGTCGATATGAGAGATCTCTCACTCCCAAAGCTTTTAAACCCCTGACACCTTCATTTCCAGTGGCAGCAGCCTTGCGTTGAGATGATGCATCTCTACGAACCTCTGCTCTTTCACCCGGAGATGTCAATGCCAGAATGTCTGGTATAACGACAACAGTCCCCGTGAAAATGACCCTAGCATTATATAAAACAAGATTAAAAAAAAAGCATGTATTCAGATACACCACTTTAGAACTAATTCAATAGAACAAATGTTTCGTGAGTTCTTACGTGTCACCAGCTCTAGCCTGTTCTACAATCTCATGGCGCAAAATGATATCAAGCGATCTGGGAAGAGACCCTGCAGGAATTTCTTTCGAGGTTTCCTGCATTCTAACCCTCTGCCAATCGGTAAACCTGCTGTCTTGTCTAAGTAACACCCATCTTGTTCTGTTTGCACAGGTTGCATTTATACAAATTGTAGGCTACAACAAACCAAGATCAAATTAGCTAAACTAACCTCAATAAATTAAGTAACTGTAAATTACATTCAAAAACAAGCAGGCAGAAGCAAAACATATATAATAGCACTGACTAACCTCGGTATACTTAAATTGTTGTTCAACATTCTTAACAACAGTGCCACAATCCAAGCACTTGAAAGTACCTTGGAGCAACTCAGGCCGAACCTCGCTCGTGCGAGTCACTACTCCAGTTACGGATAGTAATTTGCCTATTTCAGCGGTATTTAATTCTCTCAATCTGCGTTGATAACACATTCAAGTAATTTAGGGTACAATGACCTAAAAACAGTTATATCATTGCCTCAATGATACTTATCACAATGAAAAATAATAAACAAAAAAACGGTCGATTTAGATGATTACCGCTTAACGAGAGGAATATTGTAGAATGCAACATTGATGTCTTTGTTAGGGTTATCATCAGCAATAATATTCGGTTTCCGCTCCATCACAAACCTCTTACAAGCATTCCTCAAATAAGGCTCAAATCTACTCAACAAAATATCAGAAAAAAAAAAAAAAAAAAAAAAAAAAAAAAAAAAAAAACAATTAATTAATTAACCACCAAATTCAACAAAAAGTGTTAATAATCAAACTTAATTCAGCACAAAATTGATAATCAAAAAGTGAAATTTGAACAAGTGATGGTAAAATTATACCCAGACTTCGGGTATCGTACCTCAAATACTCATCAGAAACTGCCTTCTGAAGAACATCGTCAAATCGCATGACATGAGAGAAATCAATAAACATAGTGGTTGATTCACACTCCTCCATTATCGTAACCTCGGTGTCGTAATACGGATTCCGTGAATTCAGATCAGAACGGAAGCTAAACAAACCACCAAATTTAATTAAAAAAAAATGCAGCAACATGTAGAAATACAAAATTCAATGGAGAGAAAAAAATAAGGTATATACCTTCTAAGGAACTCAAGAAAGGCGTTTTCGACGGGAGCCGCGGTTTCGTCGACGAAGAAAGCACCGTAATCCATTGTGTAGCCGGAATTTCTTGACTTTCTCTCGAACCGTCTTTCTCTGTGGTCGGCCGGTTTGTAGGAGGGAAGGGTTTAGTTAGGGTGTATCTGAGTAAGTGAAGAGTGAAAGAGTGAGGTGTTCGGCGGGAAAAATAGTGTATGTATAGTGCTTTTCCCGCCAATTACACTTATTGTGCCTACTAATTTATCAAGTACTAGTATATTGCATGAGCCCAAGCCCTAAAATCTTGAAACTAGTCTCTTCGCTTGATAAGTATATAACCCTTCGTTTTTGAAAATTTTAGTCCTGTTATGGAATGAGTGCAATAATAATTAATAAGTTTAGGATAATTATATAGAGTGAAGATCAAAGAGAGAATTTTATACAATTTTATATAAAGGAAATTTTGTTATAATTTTTTTTTTTTTTTTTGACAAAGGATAAAAGGAAAGAAAACTAAAACAAATTACTGCTAAAGCAAATGAAATGGATGGCAGCTTCTCCTGCAATTTGGTGCGCCCTGTGAACACACTCCCAATCTGCTTTGTAAATACTACAGTGTTGGAAAGTAGACCCTAACAGTTGAATCTGCTGCAGCAGCCATGAGTACCGGATATCTCCTCGTACATCGCCGCGCAAAAGAGTGACCAGATTATAAGTATCTGTAAACAGAAGAAGCGATTGAATGCCTGCATTTGAAGCCCATTGCAAGGCATAGCAACAGGCTAAGGCTTCCGAGTGAAGAGAAGAGGAGCACAACCCAAAATTACTCCCACCTACAATCCTGTCATCCAGAGGATCTGTATTGTCGAGACACCAGCCCATTCTTGCTTGTTGTGTGTCTTTGAACCAAGATCCATCTACATGAATCTTCAGTAAGGGTGAGCCTCTGTGATTTTGCCCTAAATGGGCTACATGAAACCCAGGCGGGCAGGGAGATTAGTAGAAGAGAGAGAAAGCTCCATCCCTGTGTCATCATCCATATATATAGTATGAGAGTGTAGTATATCCAATAGTTGTAGATCAATTAGTATTATGACAAGTGTCGGGATTGAAAACCCATTTATTCCTAAATAACCAAAGACCCCATAGAGTACCAACAAAGGTGCTAATACTGGGACTCAAAATCCCATCCCGACTAATTAAAAGTCGGATATAATCTTAAATCCAATCTGAGAAAGAAAGGTGTCCATGTAATTCTAAATGGATGCCCAAGGCACTACCCCTCCAAGCTGTTCTTGCAATAGTGCAATCTCTAAACAGATGGTTGAAATCTTCTAGCTGTGTACTGCATTGATCACAGGACACATCTTGTATGGGAACCCCCCTGCGATGAAGCTCAATTTTAACCGCTAAACCGTTATGGAATAACTTCCATAAGAATAGTTTCCACTTTGGCTGTAACTGCAGGGACCAAAGGACTTTCCAAAAAGGACTTACTACTACCTCTGTTACATATTAGTTGCAACTTTTGCCATTTAGGGGTGCTACCTATTAGTTGCAACTTTCTATTTCTTTCTTTTTTTAGTAAATTTTTTCATATAAAATTACTACTTTACCCTTACTAAAAAAATCATAATCTCAATTACCTATTATAATCTGATCACCTTAACCATTAACCCAAAGTCATTAAATTACTGATTCTCAACAAATTAATTATTCACCAACCAACTTCATTCACCATTCAAAAAAAAAAAATGGAACTAACTTCATTCAATGAATCAAACCAATTCATTGCTATTTTCCAGATTTGGTGAAATTTCAATACCGTAGTTCTTCTGGGTTCTTCTTCTTCCATGAGTGGATCTTCTTCTTCCAAGAGTTTCTCTTTCCTTCCTCCATGAATTTCACTCTCATACCTCAATCTAGCGTCTAACCCACGAATTCCTTACAATTGCACTTTGATCTAACCCACGAAATTCATCACAATTGTTCTCAAACCCACGAAATCCTCACAAAACCCACGAGTTCGTCACGAATTTCCTCACAATCACTCTCAAAACCACGAAATCCTCACAAAACCCACAAGTTCGTCACGAAATCTTCTCAAAACCTCAAAAAATCCTCAAATCTACACTTAAATATGGTTTCTGGGTGATTTATGGGTTGTTTAATGTGCGTGTGGGTGGTTTCTAGGTTGTTAGAAGTTGCGAGTGGGTGGTTTCTGGGTGGTTCCGGCTGAGAGGAGGTGTTTTCAGGCTGTTGGGCGACGATGGCGGGGTGGCTGCTGTTGGGCGACGGTTGCGGGGTGGTTGTTGTTGGTGGTGGTGGTTAATTTTTTAATTACCTTCACTTTCTCTCTCCTATCCTTAATTATCTATTGTTTGATTCATTAATCAGCTATTATGAAATTTTGTCTTAAAATCCGTGCCAAGGTGAAAGTTGCAACTAATATGTAACGGAGGTAGTAAATGAGAAGTAAGCGGTTGAATGATCATTGCATAACCTGTCTTAACCGTGTAATTCCCCGAAGTAGTACTCGCCCAAAAGCGGAAGTCCTCCTTCTGCAAAGCAGGGGTTTCCATGGCAAGAATTGAGGAAGCATCCGCTGGCTGAAATCACTATTGTACTTTGTCCACATCCCAAGTGAGAGTATGAGGATGAATGAAGAAATTAACTGTCCAATCCTTCGCAGTGGCTAGGAGGATCCTTGGTTGGAAGTCTGGCGTAGTACCGTTGACCCAATTTGAACTCCCGGCAAGAATGAAATTTCCATTGCCGACCTTCCAATTGCACCCCGTCGACAAAAGTGCATCCGCATGAAGCAGTCTGCAGAGGTCGTAGGACTGTCGACCCGAGTAGCGTCTACCCTGAATTAGAGTAGGCGACAAGAAGCGAGCACGAGCTGTATAAAACTTTGGAAATGAGCAACTGAGTGTGGTTAAAAATTCTCCAAACTTGTTTCATAAGAAGAGCTTTATTTAGAGTTGAGATACACCGAATTCCTAACCCACCCATACCTCGAGGAAGATGCATTTTCCCTTTCCCCACCCAATGCATTCCTTGATTTTCGGAGTGTGACCGAAAAAATTTCAATAATAAGCTATCAATTTTCCCAGTAGTTCAGTTTGAGATTTCAAAGTATGAGAGGAGATGAGAAGCCATGGCCACCAGGATTGAGTTAATGAAAATTAACTTTTGTGATTGAGAAAGTCTGACAACATTGAGCGACGTGATGCGACCAACAATTTTGTTGATGAGAAATTGGAAGCAATCTTTTTTCTTTTCCATGAAATCAATGGGGGATCCCAGATGATGATCAAACCGTAGAACAAGTTTCATACGGAACATTGCCTTAAATTCATCCTAAGCAGGCGTAGTAGTGTTAGGATTGAATTTAAACATAGACTTTTTGAGATTCAGCTGTTGACCAGAAATCTTCGTAAAGCATTGAATAATATCGATAATATTCGAACAAGAAGGAGCAGACACTTTGAAGAAAACCATTGCATCGTCGGCAAAGAAAAGGTGGGAAATAATAGGACTTGACTTGGAGATCTTTATTCCCTGAAACATATGCAAATCCCGACCCAAGTGTAGCATTCCGGAAAAAAACAACCATGTAGAATAGAAAGAGGTATGGGGATAACGGATCCCCTTGACGGAGGCCACAGTTAGGCTTAAAAGCCTCAGAAGTATTACCATTGATGAGAGATTTATAGGAGACTATAGAAATGCACTGGTGAATCATTTGGAGCCATCTGGCTGGGAAACCATAGGCTTGAAGCACCCGTAAAAGAAAACTCCAATGAACTCTGTCTTATGCTTTACTCATATCGATCTTGAGCACAGCAAGCTAGTTTGTACCAGTCTTGGAAGAATTGATTTTCTCCATTAATTCATGGGACATTAGAATATTATCTGAAATAACCCACCCTTGGACAAAGGCATGTTGAGAATCAGATATTAGCAAAGGCAAATACGGACGGATTCTGGCAACCAAGCATTTGGAAGCACATTTATAGATTGTATTACAAAGGCTTATAGGGCAAAGGTGGTTAACCTCCGTGGGAGAAGTAATCTTCGGGTTCATGAACAGGAGTGATTGATTCCATTCTTTTAGGAGGAACCCCGTAAGAAAAAAACTCTGGACAGCTGCAATCACCGAATCACCACCGTGTGCCAATGGACTTTGAAAAATTCTGCCGTAACTCCATCTGGACCTGCGGACTTACAATTTCCCAAATCAAACATTGCGTCCTGTATCTCAGTTGCTTTAAAAGGTCATTCTAGATTACTAATCTGCGAAGAATTAAGAGAAGGAAGATGCAGTTCCTGAAGGAGAGTATTAATCTCAGGATCGTAAAGAGGAATAGCATCACATTTGAAAGTCTCCTTTAGTGAGCGGACTACTATGTTTTGGACCTCCTGGTGACCATGTTGCACAAGACCTTGGTCATCAACCAGGGAAGAAATAATATTCTTCTTCTGATGACACTTAACTTTTGAGAACAAGAGTTTAGAATAGCAGTCTCCTTTGAGAATCCAGTTCTTTTTGCATCGCTGCCCCCAGAATTGAAGTTGTAACAAAAAAATATTTTCCTTAGAAGTAACTATATTCGATTAGTAGCTAGATGCATCTGAGATAGATTGTATTGCCTCCCCTTCAACCAAAAGATCATGAGTGAAAATTTTCCAGTCTACACCCTAGAACTTCTTGTTATTAAGACACCAGTTTCTAATTAAAGATCGAACATAGATCAGTTTCTTGGAGAGAGAAAACATAGGAGAGCATGTATGATCAATTTGCCAAGTTTGGGTCACAATGTCATGGACCTGTTGATAATTAAGGCACCAATTATCCAATCGGAAAGGCCTATTTGAGAGTTGTTGAAAAACAGAGTCCTAAAAAATGATAGCAGCATGATCCGAAACAAGAATAGGTTGGTTAAGCAACCTACTTTTCGGGTAGTTTGTAAACCAAGTGGAAGTCATGTAGGAGTGATCCAGACGTTGTAGAATGAGTTGGTCCCCATCCCGATTATTAGTCCAAGTATACGGTGGGCTTTGAAAGGCGTGGAGAAAAGGCTTGATTTAAGACGAAAATCAATAAAGGAATCCCACCCTCTAATAACATTAGAACCACCTAACCTATCATAATGATGTTCGATTTGATTAATATCTCCAATAATCAAAGTATTAGGTGCTATAGCTAACAAGTCTAAAATTAACCCCCAAACTTGGGGTCGATCTTCTAGTACAGGAGCTCCATAAAAAAACATCACACACTTATCTATTTCATTATGAGTTTTTACACTACAAAGTATAATATTAGAAGAGCAAAAAACACAAGAGATAGCTTCCGAGCCATATG